AGAAAATCAGCAGCTTCTTAGCTGGGCCCTAGAAATTATTCCCAGAAGCTCAACCCCACGGTGCCTGGAAAACACCCTTGTTGAGAACCAAACCCCTTCAGGGTTACTCACCAACATTGAGGGTAACTGGAGTTGTGGCAGTTATGTTGGTCAAAGGATTCACTTCCCGGGCAGCACCTACAAGGAGCCAGAAATTTGGGGGAGAGGGAAAGAACGAGGTATGTTCAGAGCACGGCTGAATGTATCCCGCACCGGTTCCAAGACAGAAGGCTTGAATTCATTATTTTCCCCTGCTCTGATTTTGCCGTCATCTATTCAGGCACAGAGCGAAACCATCACAAGCTACTTCTTGTTGCTGGTTTTTTGTAACAGATATGAGCAAAGGGACGAACAAGAATGAAAGGTCTTGGGATGTTTGGAGGCTCAGAATATCGCACGTCTTCCTACAGTCCTCCCCACGAGTCAAGCCGGAATTCGTATTCCTACAGTTGCAAAGTTGGAAGGAAAAGGCAGAGGCTGGGTGCCGAGAATTGCTCATCAAAGACCGCCACCAAAGAGTGGGACCGAGGTAGGATATGAATCAAGGGGCTTCTCAGAACACGTCAAATCAACAAGGGGGTCTTCACCGTGTTGCCCTCTTCTAAAAAAAATGAGGACTAGGACCTTGGGCCATTTTCGTCCCAGGATCCTGAGCCTTCGAACGCCTCTCTGGATTGGGAGGGGAGGAAGCCAGAAGAGCATCTCCCGCAGGGCAGGGCAGAGCATCTCCAACTCGGCCCCCGCGGGGAAGGCCAGAAGACGAACCCCATCCGCGACTCACCATTTTGGCAGTCCGTCAGGTTGTACACCGGAGCTGCGGGGAGGGTTTCATTCTCACATTTCACGCAGCTGCTGCTGCCATCTGCGTTCCACCGCCTGTAGCAGCCTGCGTGGCGTGGCGTGGAAGAAAGACAGACAGACAGACAGAGGACTGAGCAGAAGCAAGCAGGAGTCCCCTTTCACACCCAACCGAGCATCGGAAGAATCCGACCTCGGAGTCCCCCGGCCTTCTGCAAGGCCCTGAGTTCATCGCCTCGTGCTGAGAACCAGCCCTGCAGCCTTTGGGGTCCGGGAAACTCAAGTGGAAGAGCCCTGGCGGAGACTTTTTGACAGCATTAAAAAGACAAAAGGGAAACAGAGCCAGTTCTCTTTTTTCTCTTTTGGACAAGTTAACCCTTGGAAGATACGGAAAATTAAAACGTTGGCTTCGCCAGCGTCTGTTTGACCACAGGGCCCTTAAACGCCAGCCAGTGTTCATTTCGTTACAGCGTTAAGCCGGAGAGAAAGAGGAGGCGGAACCCGTCGATCTGTAGTTTTAAGACAAAGCAGCTTGGCATTTTGCAATAATGAAGCGGGAGGTGGCAAAATCAGCCAGAAGCACATAGAAGGGCTTGCCAAAAATAACTAAAAAAAAAAAACTCTGTATCACCTGAAGCATTCTTTTCAATCCAGATCCCAGGAGGGAGATTTTTTAATAGTAGTAATTTTTTAAAAAGGGCGAGGAAGCTGAGACAGAGTAAGATTTTCACGACAACTAGTGGTTGGGATGCTTAAAAGCCATGTCTAGAACCTGCAGCCTCCTTGCTGTTGGAAAGGAGACCACGGGGAAAGCCAGCTGTCTTTGGGATCAGCTTGTGCCAAGTGTGAAAATGCTCCCTTGCCACCCTCTTTCTTAGCAGCTCCCAACCATCACTACCTACTTACCTGGAGTGCACTGGCTGTTGGCAAGACAGGTACTATTGGCTTCCATTGTATCGATGCAGCATTCTGCTTCAGATTCCTAGCGGAGGGGCGAAAAAAACACATTTTCCCCACATTCATTTTCCTGGAACCCTATTTTTCAGTCTCTTGGCACCCAGGAGAGCCCAGAACCACAAAGCAACTCCACTTGTGTGACACCGCCTTGTTCAAAGCACAGCAAAACCCAAAATACATGATAGAACAGGCCGCAACTGCACTTGGGGGGAAGAAAAACGACTTGCCACCTGGTGTGAACTTTCCATCCTTACAATCCTGGCCCTTTGCCTCCGAGGTCAGCTCAGTTAGCTTTGTGATAGAGAGGCCAGCCTGATTCTCCAAAAAGGCCCACCTGGCCGGAAAGAGAAATGCAAAAACGGAAGAAAAAAAAATCCCCTTTTTAAAAACCGCCTGCTGAAGCTTGTCAGAGCTCCTCTGCGAATCGAATACCCGAGAAGCGCCCTCCGCATTGACAAACTGTTCATTCGGTGCCTGCCAGAACATCTCAAGCAACACAGCAGCCTTTTGACGGGCACAAAACTGTCAAAACAAACCTGTCTGGTTCTTGTGGCTGACGATGGCAGGTGAACACATAGCTCCAGAAAGCATTCTGATGCGCCTGCAATAATCTATTCCTTCCATCATTGTTTAATGAGAAGTTGGCCCACACTTGCGCCCCAGCATCCTTCTAGACACCCCAAAAAATGGAGAAGGGTCAAGGGGACCTGTTGACTCTACTGGTTTCTCCTTCAGCCCTTTGGGAAAATATCTGCCCCGCTGGCCTGTGGGACTCACGGACCCTAGGGAGAGGCCCCGGTCCACTTCAGGAGAGCTGAGATTCATGGCCAGCCCCAAGTCAGTGTTCACTAGCCATCAGTCTCTGGAGATGATGGTTAACAGAGGTGGTAGCAGATTAGAGCTTCATCTCCCCGGGATGCAACTTTAATACGATCTCTGCTCGGAGCAGACAGGATGATCCGTCAAGCCCCCCGTAGACCACATTTCTGGGACTAAAGCTGCTAACGGTGCCGAAATGCAGCTAGCATCTTTCAGGCCAAAAGCTCATCTATGCCAGCTTTGGTGGGAGGAATCTCTGCAGGGGGAGGGAAAGGGTTGGACATCCCCAAGGTCAGGCGCTCCAGCTATTTCGGAGTCGGAACAGACTGGGGCAGCCTATGCATTTCGTGAATAAATCATTCCGACCCAGGAAGACTTTCCCACCAAAGGGAAGACTCATCCAGATCCAATCTTTAGCTGAAAGTGGCTTGTTTTTGACTCCCTGCCCAGAATCATTTGGCTCGAAGCCACGCCAGCAAGTGCACTACGAACATTTAAAAGCGTATGTCTTTTCTTACAAAGTACACTGCTCTGGGCATAAAGCAAGTGGCCGCCCCTCGTTCCACTGGCGTTCCAGTTTGAAAGCTTTTTTTTCCTTTTTTTTTTTTTACAATCTGGGCCCACGATTCCCAGAGGGAACATCTTGGTCCTGCCTGTTCGTGAGGTCTGCGGCTGGCGAGACTCCAAGCACCGCAGTTATCAAGATTGGTGGGATCGATCCAGAAAGCCGGCCCTTTTAAATGAGTTGTCAAGACCACAAGCACCCCAATCTCCAGCCAAGTTTCGAGGACAGAGTTATTGTCTTCCTGCCAAGGACTGGTTGCGGCGATGCTTTAAGGCGTGGCACTCTTTGGCAGTATTTTCTTTTCCTTGAAGTTGTAACACGCCGTAAGGACGGCTGCTGAAAAGGATTTATCAGCTGCGCACACAAAGAATCCTTCAATTCAGACATGGTACTTGCCACCAGCTCTGGATTTTGGATTTCAAACCGGAGAGCTGAGATCTAGTTGCCTTTCCCGGGAAAATATTAAAAAGGGGGAAAAAATTACTTGACGAGCATTTTACACATGGATGGGGGAGTGAATAAAGACCTATTCCAAGTGTGTTCCTTGGTGATGCAAGAAGAGATCGTATTTACTATCAGATTTTAATTGCTGCTTAAAAGACAACACTAGCTAAATTAGCTAAAGTAATTTGTGTTATTCTGAACTCGACTGTGCGCGCCAGAAAAGAGCCATCTCATTTTAAAAATCGTGAAACCAGCAATAAAGCCTGACTCGGATGCTTCTGAATCTCAGGGCGTGATTTTGGCTAAAGCCTCTCTCTGGTTTTGTCCAAGACACAATTCCTCGCTCTACCCAAAAACCACAACAGTCAGACATTGGGCCACAAATGAGAAACCACTGAAAAATGGATCCCTGTCACTCTGAATTATGGGAACTGCAATCCTACACATCTGGAGGGCTTTGGGCTGGGGTAGGCTCACATCTGGGGAGTTCAAGGTTTGTCGCTGTGCCCTGGGCTCACATCTGGAGATGAATGAATAGACGGGGCATTGGTGCTGGAGAGGGTGGGCCCCAGTGGGGCAGATGGAGCAAAAACTCAGCTCTACCAGGCCAGGAAATTCTCACAAGGAATTTTTTTTAGAGAAAGATGAGAGCAGGTTCTATTCAGGTCCGACTGTAAGTTACCAGCTACGGGAATCCTTGCCATTCCTTGAACAGAAATCAAGTCTGCTCTGATTCACGGGTGCTCTAAATCAAGATTAATACGGCGAGTCACCTACGAGCAGGTAAAAGAGATGAAAAGCATGTAACAAGGAGTATAATTCAGCCTTGATTGGCTTTGTAAATCACCCTTGGAGCGATTAGGTCGGGCTTCGTCCGTCTGGAGGAAGGAGAGGAAGGGGGGATGCGACCCGCGCGCGGGAATCGAAAATGGATGGTTTTGAAGCAGCAGCAGACACTCTGCCCCATAGGAGGAAAAGGCTCCCTGCTATAATTATTATTACTCTTCCCAAAAAGTGCTGTGCTCGGGAAATATGGTTCGTAAGACCTGCCCCAAAGCCCCCAAACTATGTACATCGCTCTGCTTGTGCCGTGTAATTTATTCCACTTCTAAACCGTCACTGGGCAGAAAAAATAGGGGGGTATGACTCTGGATCCTTAGCCATCAGTGCATCATGGATTTCAGCGTTGCCCACCAAAAGCAAACCCCACTAACGATCTATATATCTTTAACTTACAATCAGGTCCCTTTCGGAAGAGGAATTTCTCTTTTATTTACACGGAGGCGGCAAAGGTTTTTGTACCGAAAGCCCCCTCCCCAGTAGAAAGAGGGCCTTTCTCATTCACAAATCCAGGCCGATCCCCTCTCCAGGCTAATATCCTTTGGAGGGATCAATAATCACAACGGGAAATCAGGATTAAGATGCTGGCATCTTCCAGAACCGTCAGGAGCATGTGAGGGTGGACAGCTATAGACTCGTAGCATCCATTGCTGGAAAACATGGCCCAACGGTGTTCCAATGTGGCTTGCTAGAGCCATAAACTTACCCAGGAGTAGTCAATGAACTCACGCAATGCGTGAGCCAACAAGCAAGCAGTGGTTATGCTACTTATAAAATTCCTGGGTCCAGGCTCCAGGAGCTAAACTGAACCTTTCTCCTTCTCTCTCTCTCTTTTCGTTCTAGATTTGGGTCAAGCAGCCACGAGCCATACCTACCGAGCTGTCGGTGGATTTGCTGGTGACTTCTACTCCGAGCACAGTTAGGAGGAAGACGCATGGCACCACCATGCCCGAGAGAGAGCAAAGTCTACAAAGGAAAGACAAAAAGAGTCCAGCACTCAGAGTTCCACCATTTCCACTCGGTTGCTCTCCTCTGACCCCGTTAATAACGGCACGGAGGCAGAACTGGAAGGACGTGCCTTACCTGGCCTTCGGGATAATGGAAATGCAAATTTGGAGACGCTGGGGGATGTCACTGCCAAAGCAGGGCAGAACATTTCTGTACCTGCTGACAGGTGTGTGCAGTTGCTAAGAAACCAGAAGCCTTACCAGTGGGTTCAAAATACAGCCAATCCTAGCCCCAGAAGGCAGGTTGGAGAACTCACAAATGGGAATGAGAGTGACACGGCCCCATCGGGGACAAAATGGCTTTGCTAAAGCCACCGGGAGCAGGACAAGAGGATCAATGTGAAATAGGGGATATAGGAAGGAAGGGCAGCGCATCCATAGCTTTTGTGGCAGTGCACGTGCACACCCGTCCACACGCAGCCCGGACACAACAGGCGTGCAAACGCAAGAGAAGTTTCTACTTTTACAGACTTTGCATGAATCAGGGAAGTAGGCCTTCTAAAATCCCAAGGGGTTTAAAAGTTCCCAGTTGGAATTAGTTGCTTTAGACCTCCTCTTCTTGTTATATCACACAAGCAATTTCGAGAGGACTGGAAAGCACTGGTTACCTGGGGTGAACGGAAATCTCCTCCAGGTGATCAGAGAGGGAAAGGTTTGCAAACACAGGCTCGCTCCCTCCTCTCCGGCTTTAGCACACAACTAAGTGACGTAAACTGAGTTACGTCTTGTAAACTCTGGGAACGATAATAACTTTTATGAACCCATTTACGAAGCTGTATTAAGTTCTAATTTGGCATGCACAATTGGAGAAAACTCCAGTAACATAAAAGCAATTTTGATCAAATTAAAAGCGGGGGGGGGGGAGCTAAAAGGAATCCAATGAAGTACACAGAACAAATTGGCTTTTTGATAAACCAAAATTGGAAAAAGGATATGCCTCCTTCGAGTGATAATTGGATGTCCTTCTCTCTCTCCCACCCGAAATGAAGCCTTAGAAAATGAAGAATCTTTTTAATCTCCAAAAACAATACTAAATATAACTTGTGAAGCACAGGGAAGGGGGGGGGAAGCCTTTCACATCCATCATTTTCCTCCAAACCAAGCTTGCTCATTTATTCCTGGGAATTGATCACATCAAGAACCAAGCGGACGTATTAAAGGAGAATGAAGAACTGAAAGAAATACACATCTTCCTTTCTTGCACTTCAACCAAACAGAGACATCAAAGCTTTGTAGCCTGACAAGGTCCGGCACGCACAAGACTTTCTGTTATCTGGCATATCAAGCTGAGAGGCGTACAACTTTTATTTTATAAGCCTGTTGGAGAACCATTTCTTTCCTATAGGAAAAGGGGGGGGGGAACAGTGGGTCCTTGACTGCTTGAGAGTTTTTATTTTAACTCATTCCTACGAGTCAGAGGACAGTGGCTACCAAATCTGATCAGACCTACATCCGATTAGCACATCCGGGTTAAGATGGACTGGTGCTTCTCTAGGATTCAATTGCCAGTATCTGGCAGATCAGAGGACGGGCTGATTTTCGCAGGCGGCGAGTTCATGTTAAGCAGACCCTCTCTCTGCCATTCAGCTCACCCCCTTGGTCAAAATTAAGTAACCCTGACTGGACAGCCAGCAGAAATAGAATAAAATCAGGAATCGTGTTCTTTTTAAGTGCCGTCCTTGTGAAAGAGAAACAGACCAGGTGATGAAATAAGAGGGTGGCTGGGGAAAGGCTCTCCGGTCGCTCCTTAGGAGCAAGATTTCCGGAAAAGAAAAATGCTTTTCTTGGGGGGGGGGGAAACTGGCTGACCCCAATGTTGAATGAACCCCAATCTTTGAGCTTCAACATCATAGCGCTGTTAACTATTAATAATAATAATAATAAACAACAACAACAACAACAACAACACCCTTCCCTCTATCTACAAACCCACAGAAATCAAGGGGGTTACAAGCATCACCATGGATTGGCAAGCTCACTTGTGCATCTGCTACCGACGGCAACTATTCCCTCGCCACGCTTCCCTGGTCTTCAAGGAGCCATGGAAGAACCAGCTGGGGCCATGGGTGGGAAGATCAAGTAGCAGAGAGTTCCTCCGGCCCTTCTTGCCAAAGAGGGCGAGAGCCGGCCTCTCTTCCTCAGCAGGCGCCCGAGCCTCCTTGCCCCGGCTTCCTAAAGATATACTGTATATTAATGCCTTTATAATCAAATTATAATTGCCTAATTAGGTTATGCTTTGTTGGAAAAGGGGGACAGAGGAGAACCCCGGTCTTCCCAGCGGATGCCGACAGGAGCGTTGCTGAGAAGAAGAGATCGCTTCTTGGTCGGGCAGGTATTCGCCTGCAGAAGACCTTGGTACCTCCAGTTCAAATGGGAAAGGTAAGTGATGCCAAACATTTGTTTGTGCCCCCCATTCTGTATGGCACTAGATGATTAACAGTACGGCCTCGTGTACGGCCCGGCTGTGTTTTGTCAATATCAGTGGGAAGGGAAAAGATAACGTTCACTCCTTCTAGCTAGCCAATGGTCACTGTTGCTCGCACCTGCCCGATGCATCGTGCACCAAAGCTGGAATTTTAACCAGCCGACTGCCACGGTCCTGTTTGGGGACAAGGCGGGTTACTTCGCATCTGGGTTCCTTTTCTTTTAAACGAGCCAGGCTCGGCTGGAAAACGGGACGGCTGTCTCAGGGGAACGGCGGGCCGTCCGGCCGTCCTACTCATGCTCATTCCCTGCGAACGCTGGGCCGAAAAGCATCCATCCGTCTTCTCCGGAAAAGAAGAAAAATGGAGACCGGTCATGGAAGGAAACAACCGATGCGCCCCCGATCCTGGGGCTACTGAGACTGGTCTGCCCCCCCCTCGAGACTCCAATCACGTTCTTATCAACCAGACGATAGTGTTTCTGGAGAGATCTTTCTCTGCTGCTACAAATTACAAGAGGCTCAGAGCATCGGTTCGGTGGCTGCTCTGGTGGGAGCAGGACGCTGGATTTATCTGCGTTTACCGCAGAATTGATCTGTCTCCCTTCAAGATTAAGCTGCTGATGTTTTTATTCTGGCCAAGCCAACGTTTTTCTCTCCTTCAAGGAGTTGGGCTCGCCGGCCAGAATCGCTCTCTTCGAGTTTGGCCCCCGGTTCCCTGCTGAGTGCCAGGCTGGATTAAAACCTTGAGTCAGAACCCCTCTTGCTTAGAAGAGATGCAGTACGAGAAAGTGTGTAAGGCTGCGCGCCACCTCTTCCTGGTTAACTTCCCTTTAAGGCCTCCTGGAGTGTGATGTCAAGCTTCCGTAGCATCTGGAAGAACTGGCTGTTTTCGAAAAGCGTTCCCAAATAATCCAAGCTGCCTCTCAATCAAGGATCGCCAGTTAGCACGGAGACATGATATGGACAGGAGTTGCACTGAGAAGACACCTGCTTCGACAACACACTGGGGGAAAGCACACCACACAGTGCTCAAAAACAAGCCCATTACTTTCCAGCCTATTTTGTGCCCAAAAGGCCATCTTATCAGGCTACTCTGCTGGGGCCCTGCTATCTTGGTCAAGCCTGCCAACTTCTCAGCCCCTTGAAGGACATCGTACAGGCTGAGCACGAGATCTAAACCAGGTTGAGGCTGGTATCTCGCTTGGCCTCCTTGTTGCTTGCCAGCTTCAGAAGGTATACAGAGAAACGAAAGAAAACAGAATGCAGTTTTGCCCCCTAACAGTCATTTTAACATATACCTTTGTAAATCAGACCATTTCCATCCATCTTTTTCTTTTTTTAATAGTACATGGCACCAACGTAATTGGCGACGAAAATGGGAAAATTATTCCGACTGAGTTTTGACAAAGAATCACAGCTTCTGGTGCAAATGCTGCCTCCACGCTTCTCCCCAAAAGAATGAAACCCACCAGTTGTGCCGACATTATTGGGCTCTGCTTCCCGGCCAAGCTGCGTGAAAGCAGGGGTAAAGATTTCTAATACTTTAATAGTTAAGCTGATTAAAGAGGCAAGGTGATCAAAGGAGGCCATTAACCAGGATTGTAATGCAAAGAATGGCTTTTGAAGAGTCGTCAATTAAAAACTGGCAGAATTCATTCCAGGGGGGGCGGAATAGCTTTGTGAACCTGCGTTGAGCTAAAGCCGAAGCAGAGACCTACCCCTCTACCCCTATCTGGGCTGGTTCAGACAATCACGGCTTGCAAGCCCACTTTGCAACTATGGTTTGGAGATCACTGCTAAGCACCGGCACAAGGCCAGCTCTGTTGGTATGTGAGAGGGGAAGAAAAAATAACTGTCTGTGCAGGACACTCTGTTGTTCACTCTATGCTAGTGTGCGGGTGAAATGCACACCCCCAGGCCCTGTGAAGGAAGAGACCGCCTAACCCAGATTGGAGCCATTCTCAAGCCTTTCTTACACACTGAAGCTCCTGCTCCCTCCTTCCCAGCCTTCCATTCCTTCTTCAATTCCCTTTTGCACATGCTCGGCATCTCTCTTATCGCAGCAAGGCTTACATCCCCATGAATGAGCTGGATGTGCCCTTCGCCTCTTCCTCCCCATAACGAGACTCAGATCTTTGCTCAGCTTGTTCCTCTAAAAAGCGCTGAGCTTTTTGACCACACAATCAAGGAAGGCTTCGTTCTACGATGGGAACATCAAAGCCCCCGCTTTAGAATTCACAGAAAGGTTCCTTTTAAAGCCCCATCATCACACATCACAAAATGGGGGGGGGGGATCAATTAGAGAAAAGAATATAACTGATTGAATATAAATGTGATTTAGAATATAAATGGAGTCACTAGCTTCAGAACCCAGGAAGGGCCCGGAAGCTTCGCTTCTGAATCTTGAGAAGACAAAAGCCAACCTGTTCTCAAATCTTTCTATTTTTGCCCAAAGTTGTCAAAGGCACAGCCGAGCCCTCTCGGCCGCGCTGCTCTTCTTCCTTATTTAATGACACGAGGACCAGATTTGACGCAAGCCACTGGAAAGTTCCAGCACAACAGGCAGCTTAAAGCAATGGTTTGGCTCACAAAATCGCCTTGCCTTGCCAAGTTCCTAGTCCTCAGGACTAGGAGCAAAAGCGCAGGGGGTCAGTCAGTCAGGGTCTGCCCCAGCATGTGGGGCCTCCCTATAAAATGGTTCTCATAGCACTGATGGGGTGATGAAATAGCTGAGGGGGGAAAAAAGCAAAAAAAAAATTCAAGAGAAGCCGCAGCCCTTGATATCTTGGAAACGTCAGTCAACGGTTAGGAGAATTGGGGGGGGTCCTTTCTCTTCCAGCGTTTGGCCAGACTTCCAGAACCTGCCAAGCTGGTTATTCTGCCCAACTTTTTACTCATCGCATTTCTTGAGTCACTGCAGGAATGAGTGCAAAGGACACAGAGAGCCTTCCTCTTCTTCATGCTCAAGAAAAGCATGACGCTGAACGAACTTTGATTAAAGCAGAGCGTTTTCCCAGGACATCTGGGAACTTCAATTAAAACGATAAAGACTCTTGCTGTAGAGGGTTTAGAAACCGTTCGACTCTCTTGCTACAGAAATGCATACTGATTCCCCCCGCCCGGCTTTGGGCTGTCGTTCGCTAAGTCCACAAACAGCTTTTCCTCCCTTGACGCCACCGAACAGCGTTCTTTGACCAATCCAGGAACACCATTCCCTGAAGGAAAAGTCCATTTTAGCCAGAAATTTGAAAGTTTTAGCACGCAGTTGGAAAGCCTCTCTTTTTTAGGTACAGTGCTTGATTTCAGCTTGGTGTACTGAACGGCACGCTACCGTTCCTTTCTGACAATCAGCAATGCCACACTGTGTCTAGAGACAGCTGACACAGCCACCTCGAGATCCTGCGTTGTTCTCCGGGGAACGTTTGTTCCTCCGGGTTTCTAGTCCTCATGAAGGCAGGGAAGAAGGACGAAGGCCCCAATGCCTCCGCCTGCCTATGGATTATCTGCTCTTCCTCCCCAACGCTGAAACTATTCCTTCAGCAGACCCAGCCGGCATTCCCCAGACCCACAAGAGGAAAGCGGATCGCTTGGCACGGCCCTTCCTCGCAAGAGCAAAGCTGCTGCGGAGAAGCAACCACCACAAACCTACAGGAAGTCTGGCGACACATCCTTTAAGGCGGCCTGTGGCTGAAAGGGCGAGAGAAAGCGCAACTCTGCACACTTACGTGGCCAACCGTACTTTCCCCCTCGTCCTCGTCTCTGGCGGATTTTCCATCGGCTTCTCGCACCTGATTTGCTAGCTCCTTTCTGAACGGGCTGCAAAGGGTCAGTCGTTCTTCAGCGGCCACTTCCTGCTTCTGCTCTTTCAGCCCAAACTAGGTTTTACGCCAGCAAAGGCGGCTTGTTGCCAGAAGCTGGGGCCGAGCGCTCCGAATCGCTTCGAGAAGGGGGACCCCTCACCCCCCAGTTTAAAAAAGAGCTAAAAATTGAACCCAGGAGGATTTCTAGAAAGGCATCCTCCAAATTAAACGTTGCCGAGGCTTTTAAAAAATGACTGAGCGGAGTTGCTGAGTTCCCAGGGACGATCAGAGGCTGAATAGCAACTGCTGGGCCGGGGTGGCTGGGAGCGATGGGAAATGTAGTTCCACACTCAGGGACCGCGCCAGGTTGGGCCAGACAGGCCACGCGTGGGAAACCAGAGGACAGCGGCCCAGGCCAAGCTGATTGGGGATGATGGGCAGTGTGGTCTCACCTACCCAAGAAGGAGACTTGAAGAGCCAAGCTGGTAGGGGAGGATAGGTATTGCACTCCCCCGGATCTGGAGGGCATTGCATCAAGGCTGGCTAGGAGAGGATGGGTGTTTTACTCCCACGGATCTAGAGGGCATGGCACTGCGAAAGGCTGGCGGGGGATGATAGGTGCTGGACTTCATACTGGGCCAAGCAGGCAGGGGAGGATTGGTATTGCACTCCTACACATCAGGAGGGTCTTTCTTAGGGATGGAGGGATGGGCTTTGCGCTTCCCCACGCCTAGTGGCGGGGCAGCGGGAGCCCCTCACCCTTGGGGGGCAGGGGATGCTGGGTGCTGTAATCCCACGCACTGCAGCGCACCTGCGGGCGAAAGCGACCCTCCAGCCCTCCCTGCGGGCACCGGGGCGCCCCCCAAGGCAGGCGCTGGATCCCTGCCCCCATAA